TCTCGTCCATGTCGTACTGTCCAACACCCAGTTCCAGCACGGCATCGAAGTCTTCTTTGGTCAAGTAGTAAGAGTCCATGAAGTCGATGACATCTTGCACGGCGTCCTTGCCCTGATTCTTGAGCGTGCCGACTGTCTTGCTCCATAGGGCCGGGAGATACTGCTGGCGAATTTCATGACGATCGGCAGAGGTACGAAGCCGCATATGTCCTTGAATCTCCTTGACAAAGCGAGAGAGTTTCGCTACAGCATATTAGTACACAAAGCCACACGAGACTGAATTCCAACTTACTCTGCTTGCTGTTTTGCCCAAACCAAGTGGGGAATGCAGCCTGTCCCCCGAGCATTCCGTACACATAGCTAGCAGGTCGAACAAAGCTGAAGATAGCGTGGAGCGGCATCAAACTCCATTGCTGCTGGGAACCGTGAATCATCCGATCAACTAGATCGCCGTCAGAAATGCTGGCAGCGGCGTTGTCTGCAAGCTCCAATAGCTTCATCTCTCGCTCTTTACCGCTATAAGAGCTCGCAAGGGCAGGATTGGTCTTAAGATAGTTCTCCTGGAGCATAAGATAGCTCATCTCATGGTCATTGAAGTATAACTCGGTCTTGTCGTTTAAGGTCGCAGATGAACTGGCAGCAAACATTTGTGGTCGAAGGATCTTGTTCACAATGTCCCAAGGCTTCAGAATCACATGTTTCTCCCATGCCTTCGACATTGCCTTGGTGTCGCTGAAATCGAGATCTTTATTGTCGAGTTTGACAGTTGAAATCATGTTGATGATCTGGCGAATGTCGCCATTGCATCCCTCGATTAAGGCATTGATGATGGGTGCGGGTAATCTCATGCCTTCGCGGAACAGAATCGTAGCGATCCGGCCTCGAATCATATCCGTGGTCGGCCTTCGGAACTGAAACTCTGCTGTCACATTGTTGAGTGGCCTCATCTTTGGCTGGTTCCGCTCGTTGCAGATCAAGATCATCGGGACACTGGTCTTCTTGACGATAGCAGCCAAAGCGCCCACGCCACCACGATCTCCTGCTGACATGCCATCCACTTCGTCCATGATCAGCAGGAGCTTTCGTTTCGACTGTTCGACTTTCTTGCCATCGCCGGCGAAATACCCGAGGAGAGACGTAGTATCCAGAACACCAGTCAATCCAGTTTCAAGAAGCTTCTTGTTCCGAGTCTCGCTGGCATTGCTCTCGACGACATCATAGCCCTCAAGTTTGGCAATAAGATGGGCAGCGGTGGTCTTGCCAACGCCTGGGGGACCATGGAGCAAAGCTGCGCGAAAGGTGCCTTTCCCATCAGCACCCGCCTTCTTGAAGTCTGATTTGGCCGCTTTCGGCCAATTTCGAAGCCATCTCTGTAAGCCTTCAACCTGGGCCTTGTTTCCACAGACGGCGCTCGTTGAATCTGGGGCGTATTTGTCAACCCAGAGTCTGTCTTCCACTCTGGGACCTTTTGGTTTGGCTGGAGGTACAGGGGCACCACTTCGAGCTGCGGCAGCTTTTGCAACTTTCGCAGCCTCTTTCTGTCTCTCACGTTCGCGTTGTTCCTCGTCTTCTGCCTGCTTGCGGATTTTCTCTTCCTCTTTGGCTTGTTTCTCGGCATAGGCTTCGGCTGCTTTTCCATCACCACCATTTGCTGGAAGCTGTCGAATGAGTGCGAAGAGACCCTCTTCGTTGATTGTTTTGATTCCCAGCTGGCGGATCGTTTCAAGCTTTTTGGGTCCTGCATCGGCACCAAGGACGACGTAGCTGGTCCGCTTGGATGGCGCGCCTGTCACCTTGCCGCCATACTGTTTTACGAGGTTTTGTCCCTCTTCGCGGCCAAGCGAGTTGAGAACCCCCGTGAAGACAAAAGTTAGTCCAGCAAGACAGTTTTCTGCACCCACTGGAATATCAGCAGAGCCAGCTGCGGGTGGAGCCACATTGGCGTTACCGCCACCAAATGTGAACTTTTTCTTGTCATCTCTTGGTGGTGGAGTCGGAGCTCTCACAGTAGGGATATTGTCAAAGATATTTTGTATCTCCTTGCTTTCCTCCTTTTCCTCCTTTTTGGGGGTCGCGCGCGGCTTCCTGCTAGTTGTCGATGTCGTAGTCCTCTGTTTCTTTTTGGGAGTATCGTCGGCATCATCCAAGTCGTCCTGATCTTCATCCTCAAGATCTTTGGACTTTCTCTTACGACTGGAAGTGGTTCTGCTGGACGTTTTCTTACTTCTCGCATCACCAGGTCCGTCATATCCGGGGATCTGTGCCATCTCGATATCGTCGTCTTCATCATCATTTTTTGCTTGGGGCTTTTTAGAGTGCCCATTGACAGTCTTGCCCATTCGTTTTTGTGGCTTTATATCTTCCTCGTCTGTTCCTTCCTCGTAATCGTCGTCCACTTTCCTGCTCTTCAAGTCACTGAAAATGTCATCATTGCCTTCGCGGTCATCCTCCAAGACTTTATTGGGATTGTCATCTTCATCCTGTTCGGCATAGTTCTTTTTGCCAGTCTTTCTGGAGGATCTTCTGCCAGTAGATGGTGTGTCACCGTTCACTTCTTTGCTGGGTGTTTTTTCGGCACCATTCGTAGCGGCTGCTTTTGTTCGCAATGGGGTAGACTTCGCAGACTTTGTTTTTGAGGCCGCAAAGTAAGCTGAGCTGGTAGTCTCTTCTTCCACTGGTTCTTTGGCCGATTTCTCGGGCTTTGGAGTGGTAGGCTTCTTAGAGGCGGGTTTGACTACTTCTTCAATATCATCATCGTCATCGTCATCGGAGACGACTTTGCGAGAGCCGCGCTGTTTCGTAGTCGCTTTGGAGGTGTCCTGCCTCATGATCAGTCACCTATGCTTTATGCTCGGCTGAGCGATACAGAGCGAACGACGCCCCGGCTAACCTTTGAAGTGGCAGTCTTCACCGAAGGCTTTGCCCCTCCATTTCCAAAGAAACTCCTAATATCTGAAGGCATGTTGTCTTCCAATTCAAGAGGAGGTAGGATTGGTGGGAAACTAGGTTGACATGACAGCCATGAATGAGAAAGAAAATGCCAAAAAAAAGTGAACCAGTGATGTCTGGCTACAGCTCGGGAAGGAGCGACTGAAATGTCGTAAAGATCCCGCTTCCCAATTCGAGATGGACGCGACGCGTAAAACCACTGTACGCGCTACGGCGGAGCAATTGGACAGCTTGCCTACAGTGCTTGGCTTATTTGTGGAAAAACATGAGGGAATATGAGAATCAAAGACTGACAAATCTATAAGAAATTCAATTGATGTCTAGCCAAGCATACAGCATACATAGTCCGCTTCTCTAATCATGCAGAAATCATCATTAATCGTTACAATGTGGGCAACAATTTCCCTTTTCAGTCCTTCTCGTTTTCTTGTGGCGAAGCATACCATGAAGCATGTTCCGTCTTCTGTTCACCTTCTTCCAAAATTCGACTGTAATCTCCAGGCTTTGTCGACCCATTTGGAATAAAGAATTGCTTGTCAATTCGACTGAAAGTCAATATAAAAAGTATGATGATCTCGAGCATGAAGTTGAAGACATAGAAGCAGGCTTTAGAGTCGTACCAAGGTGGATTGGTGGCTGGTTGCGGGGACTCCCAGGTGATACCAGTTTTGAAGCCTGCTATCAACATACATAAACAGGCCGAAGAGGTAACAATGACCAACTTGCTCCTCATGCTGCCGTGGCCGAAATTCTCCGCATCTCTCGACGACGGCAAAAGGACCGCTAATGCAGTATGGATGACAGGGAGGCAGGTGAAAAAGAATAGGTAGGTGATCGCCGCGAGCTGGATATCTCGACAAACAGATTTGGTGTGCGGATTGAGCGTGTACATTGAGAGGACAACGGATGTGATGACCATGACGAGTGCTGCCCCAATGCCGATGTACAACAACTTGTATGCGGCTCGCAGGACTGGATTCCATCCAATTTGTGGCTGTGATGCTCGCAGTATGCGTTGTGCGAGGATCAGGTTGATGATATAGATGATCAATATGCCTGCGTTTACAAAGATTTGTGCCGCAATCGCCAGTTGAATATCATGCGGCGTTGTCGCCCACCCAATCCGCAGACACAGAGTGGCTGTCCTGGCCATACAAAAGCCGAACAGGAGCGCCGATGGGATGAACTTGTGATTCCTCCGCCGATTGAGCTGAAAGATGGTCATGTTCGTGGTTGCAAAGCAGACATAGAAAAGGAGGAGGACAGCGTCTGCTGGGATGTCGGTGCCAACCGTCGGTACGCCACCTATGGCGGCCGTTGTCGGGGGATATGGTCCTCCCATTGCGTTGGTGAATTGCGACAGTAGCGATTGGGTATCGTAGGGTCTGTGATATTCTTGACAGGCAAATATCGATAGATTGTTGATGTTGAATATTGACCATAGCCATCTCTTTCTAATGGGAAGTCCATTGTTATATACATGGGGCCCTCCACTTGTGACGCAGGCGGATCTTCACGATACGAGATCGAACAACAGTATGGAGGGGAATCGGTTCGCACTAGGGATCCAATTGTCCCATCGGCCGGTGCACGAACAATGATTGATATCAAAGCAGCCACCGAAGACCAATAGAAGTTGGTAGTCAACTGAGGTGACGACGGAATCTCGCAACAAAAACGGAGCCGCGGACAAGAAGCGCAGCCGTGAACGCGTGACTTTTCCTAAAGCGGCAACTTTGCCTTGCGTCAAAGCGCTGCTCCAGGTTTCGATTCGGCTTCGTTTCCCGCCGAAATCCGAGCTGCGAACGTCCAACACTACAACTTCGTCGAGCCCAGCCACGATCTACGCTGCAAGCCGAGCATTATTCCCTTCTCAGATACAGCGAGCTCTTGTGTCCGAGCCGAATATCTCCTTGCTCCGGGACTTTCGAGCAACCGTTCAACCCTCTGACATGTCCCAACCTGAGATGCCTAGTCAATCACGGAAGGGGACAAAGAGCTGTAGCGAGTGTCTGTGTTCGTTGCGGTGCATCAAGAGTGCTGTTCTGATAATGTGCAGGTAGACGTCGCAAAATTCGCTGTATTCGAAGATCTGACGATGCAGAATCATGTCGAAGCTGCGAAGACCGAGGCGTGAAATGTGTTGCCCAAGTCTACACTTCTCGGCCGGTCCACGAGCAGAGATTACCGTCGCGTCATCGAATTGCTCTCCTAGAGGTCGAGGTCGCCAGTCTGCGCAAGACAGTTCGTGAAATTCAGTCGAAGCTTGGGTACCAAATAACAGACGTCGCAAGACCAGCTTCTGTTCAGGCTACCAGCAGTCAAGGGGACGATGACTCGGACAATGAATCCAACGTTTCAGATGTCCTTGCGACTGAGCAACCAACACACCTCCGTTCGCTTTTCCAGAATGATTGGTTGAGTGGGGATTTCGGCCAACTAGACCAGCAACTACAGGACCGCAAAGCTAAGGCATCCACCCACCTTCTGGATCTGGCTCGGCAGACACTACAGCAGCTAATTCCTCAAAGAGAGGACGCCCGGGATATGGCCAAGACAGCGTCCAAATGGATTGATCTCGTTCATGCCCTGCTTCCACAACCATTTGCGGTGAAATCTCACACCGAACTGCTGGACAGCTATGAGAGCATGTGCGCGCCAGATGCTGATGCCATATCCTTGGCATCATGGCTTCTTGACCTTGCTGTCACGGGGCTGCAAGAACCACAAGATCACGGCAGCCCAGAAACGTCGCTCAAAAGATTTCGCAGAATCCACGACTTTGCTCGGGCAGTATCTGACGCGGTAGAGAGCAAGTTAATATCGCACGACCGACTGATGGGAACAATTGAGGGATTGGGGATGGCGATGCACGTGAGTTGTCCTCACCTTACAATGGCATTGTTGTCCTGTGCTCCTTCATGCCATCCAAGCCGTCCTTGCCAACGTATGCTGACAAGAACTACCAGTTTTTGAGGCTGTAAGATGTTCCAGTGGACATGTCAATGGTCGAAACGAGCTGACAAGCGCGATAGCCAAATAAGCCAAGGGAATTTCCAGAAAGCATGGATCCGCATGCGACACTTTGTGGCCATGGCTGAGCTTCTCGGACTGCCGAAAGCGTCTCAAAGCCTCCCGCCCGGCAATGGTACACCAGACCAATCACTGCTCCCGAGGATTCAGCTTTGGGAGTTCATGTGCTCAGCGGAGAGACTGCTCTGCATGATAGTCAACCGCCCCCCTGCCACACGGCGCTCAGATTACACTAATTTGAAGCCTATAATAATCAACGGCACCGTTCAGGTCCCCATTTATCTGAACAAGTTAACGGATATAACAGCCAAGTTTTCTACCCTGGACGATCTCGGTGCCAACCATGCATCTGGTGCACAGGCATATGCGTACGCACTGGAGCTCGACCGAGAGCTTCGAGTTCTTGCTGCTCAGACTCCGAAGTCCTGGTGGGACCAGGATTTTGTGCATTTCAAACCTGAGAGTCTCTGCCAACTATTACATTATTACTTTTTGATGAGGGTGCATTTGCCTTTTACCATGCGCCAGGACCCGGCGGAGGGAAACATGTACAGTCGTTTGACATGCATGGAAGCCTGCGAAGCGGTCGCGCAACGCTATCAAGCTCTGCGTCGTATGCTGCCCTCTGGTATTTTTCTGTCTCCGATCTTGGATCTACAAGCATTCACCGCAACCACGGTTCTCCTCCTCACATCCCACACGGGCCCCTCCAGCAACCATCTCGACCTGGAAGTGAACAAGGCGAGAATACAGGGCATTGCCGCGCAAGTGCTCAAGGTTATGGACGAGAAATCTCGTGACACGACCAATGCCAGCTTTGCACGGCTCGGCGCAATGACGATTCGTTCTCTCAATGCTTTGCTTCAGCAAAATAGCGACGCGGTCAACTCTCGTCAATTGAACCTGAAGGTCCCATTACTCGGGAACGTGACTGTACGCCGCAACATTGACCCTTCGCAGGCGCCGAGCACCGACCAGCAGCCTTTTCAGGTCCAGCCAGATACCGGCTTGTGGAGATCCCAGCAACACATCCTCACGCAACCTGGAACCATGCCCACGAATAATGGCGGTCAGTTCACTTTGGCGCAGACCTCGGCGGAGTGGGAGTTGAATCCTCTGTCGTGGTCTTTTGATACCCATGACAATTTCTTCCAGGACGCCTTCATGGCGGACTCATTTGAGCCGATGGGGATGTGGCAGACAGACTACGATGGCTTGCAGTAGTTGGTTAGGGGGGATTATCATGTTGAAGGATCATGTGACATGCGCATCACATTGTCATATATACCGCCCAGATTCAGATTCTGGGAAATGTCTTGTCTATCGCTCTATTGTATAGTATGTTTACATATACGCCATGAATAACAGTAACAAGACTCTTTCGTGCTTTGCCCTTGTTCCCTCTCTCGTCTTTTCTCTTCTCTTCTCTCCAGAGTTCTGACCTTGACTCAGACATTGATACCAGTGTACTCAGGCACAACTAAATGCGCCCCCGACGGTGCCGTCGCGGTATGCGTCCACGATGCTCTTGATGGTCGTGTACGTACCCGCGACGGTAATGAAGGAGCCCAGCGCGATCACGGCGAGGTGCAGGCCGCAGATGGTGCGGCGGCGCCAGCTCGTGTTGTACGTGCCCCGGTCCATGTAGAGGCCCATGAAGGCGGGGATTATCAACTAGGACGGATCACAAGGCTTAGTTTAGCAAGGCTCTCTAGTATTTGGTAATCCAAAAGAGGAGGGACGGAGGGAGGAGGGGTAAGAACAAAACATACACATGTCGGAGCACAGCACAGCGAGCCGATCAGTCCGAGCAGAAACCCGAAAAAGGGGATCGCTTCGGCCACGATGAATGACAATAGCGTGATTCCTATGGTCGAGCCTCTAGATCAACAGGATCTGGTTAGTTCATATCTTCAAATGTAGGTAGTGTCTCCAGCCAGCCAGCCAGCAGGTGGAATAAGGAGGCAAAGAAGGGGAGGGCGGACACGTACAGCCAGGTACTCCAGTGCACGATGCTATTGCTCTGTAGGTGAGGAGAGTTGCGCAGGATCTTGACAAAGAGCTACTCGGGGAGAGTTGTTAGCATTATCTTCTAGCTCTAGCCGGGAGGAGGACACTGACAAATTTGGCAGCCATGTGAATCCACAGCGTCGAGGTCATGATGAAGCCCGGAATCGATATCCCAAATGCAATCTTCTCAATCGTCCCGCCGGCACTGGCGAGCGACGGGCTGGCCACGTATTGACCGCAGTAGCTGGACCAGATTATCAGCTCTGTCAGAGATAGACTTTGGAGAGACAAACTCACACGTATACCACGGTGCCAAAGGTGATGTAGCAGACAGACAGGATCGCTTGCGAGGTGAAGAGAGCCTTGGGGAAGGATTTGGGCCGCCTCATCTCGGCGATGACGGGCATGAAGGTCGGTGTGGCTCCGTAGCCGGCTATATGTACATACCTCGTTTAGTCTCCTTTTTTCTCTGGCTAGAAGGGCTTGGGGAGTCTTGTTGGTGGTGGCTGTTCTTACAAAAAAGATTCAGTGTCGCGGTAAGTCCTGCCACGAATCCGGGTGACCCTACGGCGATGACACCAAGATCAAAGGGACCAGTGGCCGGGGCGGCGGCGGGTCTGTCGACTTGAGTGACGCCGACACTATGCAAGAAATCGTCAATATCATATCAACTTGTCTGAATTCTTGTCGACCTGACATGGGACAAACTCACACCACGATGAAGACGGCCGTGAAGATGGAAGCAAACCCGATCCAGGTCAAGACGGCCATCTTGCCCAATGTGCGGATACTCGAGACGATGCCTGTCGAGACGGCCGCAACCATGGTCCAGACGACCGTGCAGGCTTTGCCGTTGGCGAGAATCTTCAGCCCCTGAGCCAACCCAATGAACCCGGAGCCAGCGGCCAAGCTGTGTGCATAACCCGTCAGCGAAGATGTTTCACTCTCAGGAAGCGCTCGAGAAACTCACATCCACGTCAAGAGGAACAAGCCCCCGGCGACCTCGCGAGCAATGGGTCCTCCCATGACGGCGGCGCCATCGGCGATGTTGTGCACGCCGCGGTATCTCATGCGGAACAGGTACATGATATAGGCGTAATCTTGAACCAAGCCGTGTTCGTGAGCAAGGATACACAACACAAGCTATGTCACGGTGTTGGTGTTTGCGACTTACAGGTTGTCATGGTTCCCCAGCCGAAGAGGATGCAGATGCCCGGTCCATAGCCCGTCACATTCATGGCATAGGGAATTCCCAATACACCCGTGGCGAAACACAGCTTCAAGAGGATGATACATGCTCGGATCCTGCGTCGTTGTACATAAGCGAGTGTTCCCCTTGTAGTAAAGAGTAGAGAAGAGTGACCACATACCATCCCAAGGCTCGAAACTCGGCCACGCCAGTGTGACTCTTGAAGACCTCGCCGTCATCTTCGCTCAGATCGGCCTTCAAGATGCTGCTGTCCTGCACGGCTTCTTGGGAGATGCCCGTCTCGATCTTCTCTCCCACCTCTTGCGTCGTCTCTCCCTCGGAGTCTTGCATGGTAGAATGTGCGTTGGCTGAGATCCGTTCGTTTCTGGGCTCAACGCAGGATCGGGAGGAAACGAAACAGCAAAGTGTGTTAAAGAAGTCCGGTTTGGCGGTCACAGGGATCTTTTATCTCTCTTTCGTCCCCCTCTGCGCTCAAATCCCGTACACGAGATACATGGGAAACTTCGACATTGCCGGCCGGCCCTCCCTGGTGTTTGGTATCTGGCGGATTCTATCATGAGACGGGGGCCCAGGGGCGTCTTGGCTCTGACATGAATCCAGATCCATAGGAAAAGAGATAGATACGAGGTATCCGGTGGAGATTGAAATATTAGGACTGGCTGGGAAACGATCCAGCTCTTTCCTCCAACCGAAAACAATCAATTATCCGAATCAGGTACTCAGTCCTCGTCGTTGATTGGCGGCTTGACCTGATCCACGGGATACCCCCAAAAGACTATTCCTTATCATTGAGCCGAGAACGCAGAGCTCCGCCGCCGTTGATTTCCGAGCCTTTTTCTCGGCGGTGGAGTCGGTGACTCGCCAGGCTGACCAGGGTCGCTCACTTTCCGGGGAAACGATGGGGAGAATACTTCTGTCATACACTATGGGTCAAGATCGGTTGTAGACACAAGTAGTATTTGGGGCAACAAGGGGTGGTGGATAATAGAGCCTCGACCAGCTTCTGGGACATTGCGCCTTGACGAACCAAAACTAGGCTCCGTTTTCGCATGTGGGAGTGAGTGGAAGAGTCGAAGATGGTGATCAAATCAACACCCCAGATCCTCAAGCGAGTCAGCATTCGCTGGCTCCCAGACGATGCCTTTGAAGGCACCGACACTATCGCCCTCAACGTGGACGGCTACTATATGGACCTTCGTGTGACACTGGCCGACAAGACGCTGCAGTGGAGTCGAGCAGGTGAGCGCAAGACGCTCGCACGCGATCCACGTAGGTACCTTCTAACAGAATACATATGAATGAAGTCTTGGGATTGGTTGAAAGAACTGACCGACTGACACCTCCTCCCAGTGACGTTTCGGTGGACTCGCATCATCGATTCCATGGGGAGTCGGCAATCCGACGAAGCATCGTTCATCGACTTGAGCAACGGCGACAGTCTAGAGACGGGCAAGTTCGACAAGGAAGGCGATGGGACTCTGACAGACTACGAAGAGGTGTGGCGGGATGTTACAAAGGACACAGAATCTGACGAAGAGGGAAGCGCATGGATATTGCAAAGCACCGACGAATCCATGTTCCTGGGGAGAATCGGCCACATGTTCTTGGGGATGCAGGAATCAGCGCAGGGGAGTTTTGCGGTCAGGAAAGAGGTTTGGTCCTCAAAGTCGGGCACGGGCAGTTGGCACACCGTCTTCGAGGCGGGTCCTGTACAGTCCATTCCGAGAGCTGGGGATGTACAACGCGACCTTGACACTGGAGGAAGAGGAGGGATGGCAGAGAAAAAGGGACAGACGGTTGTTATTTGTGATTGTGAATGTATTGTTCGAGGCACCAGTTGATTTTGATATCGAGGCCATGATCACTCAGAGAAGTTCTGGCAGGCATAAAGACTTGGAGCTGTATCGACAACCTCGCAGTCATTGCGCAGGAGAAGCGGCATGATCTGTCCAGATTATATTCCAACAACAATATCCCAACACAAATCCGCACAAGGCTGCTGTGCCCTGTGTATCTCTTTCCCATGACCATCATCTATCCATGTGTTGATTGTTCTTGCGATTGTGGCGTTGTGGGCCCCTTCCAAGCCTCGAGCGGGCATTTTCCTGTTTATAAGTAGATCTTGTTAGTAACTTGTATCTCGGTTCGCGAGCAAAAGGTTTGACAACCTCGTGGCTTGTGGCATGTTGGTGGGTATCGGATATCGAACCGACTGAGCCTTGAGCCGTGGTTTTCCGATCCGAGATTGAACAAACTTTCACTTACTGTTGGTATATTCCGAGCCGGTCCAATGATACAGACCAAAGCGTGAGTGGGAGGCCAAGCGGGTTTCAAGGTTGAAACGACAAAGTAGTGGTGGTGGTGGTGGTGGTGTTGTTGTACTGCCTGGGCTGCCGTAGTACCTAATGCAACGACTATACTAACCACCGGGAAAGTATTTGTTGTTGAAAGCATCAACCACCTTTCGCGTCTCCTCGACAATCTCAATGCACCCTGGACTGTCAGAATGACAACATATCGACGTGCTGTAGTCGTTGATTGGCAGGTCACAGCTCGAGCCGTCAACAGCACCCACGCTGCACGTCTCCAGCTGCTGCGAAACTCGGCGGCTGATCTCTTCGCGGTCCCATGCCCTATCTCATAATCAGATAAAGAGAAAGGATTTAATAAAAAGAGAGATTGAATGGAAACGCGGTCAGGAGGGGGTTCACAACAACATACCCTTTCTTCCGATCGATGATCAAACTGCCATCCGCGTTGTATTTGACATCGGCATAGAACTCGGCGATGAAGTCGATGCCCATGTCCCGCGCCGCGTGCTCCATACACGTCCCCGCGAGACCAAAGACAGGCACCCCCTTGGGAATGCCCCGAAACACCGCCTTCGCCACGTCGTAGTCGCGACAGCAGACCCCGTAGAGCATCCCGTGCGGCTTGACGTGGTGGAGCGGCACGCCTGCCCGGTCGAGAAATCCCTTGAGCGCGCCGACCTGGTAGATGGTCA